TTGCTCTTGAGGTCAATGTTGGTTTTCCTAATTCATCGTATTTTTCTAATTTAATCATATTAATTTCGCTGCCAGTATCAATCAATGCGATCATTTTGTAGTGGTTGATTGATACCTGTTTCTTCATTTCGTGAAAATTCTTTATTTGTCCGACCGTGTACGAGCTCTTCGTCGTCGTATCTGTTTGCGTTTTTGTCTTTTGATTACTGCTTAAACGTTTTGGTTTCGGGCATTCAACTGAAATGTACCCGAATTGATCGCAATTGAAGTACTTCTTATCCTTTTCTTTATCTCGACAATTATCTGATTTATGTCCGCTACGTCCACAATTAAAACACTGTTCTGTTTTCGTGTCGATTGTATTCGTTGTTGTCTTAGTAGGTTTTATATCTAGTGACTTCTTAGTTTTTGTCTTATCTTGTGGTGCTATTACGTATTTGGTGTATAGTCTTAATTTATTTTTTAATTCTTCTAGTGTACGTGCGCCATAAAGGATCATCTTGTTAACGTCGTTGTCGCTAATACCTCGGATCACTCGGATAGTCGACTATTAATTCTTCAGATATATCTCCGTAACTAGCAATCTCTGTCACCGTATAAATGTATTGCTGTACTCTCCTGTGATTTCTATTTCCTCTTTGACAGTTCTTCATGTAATTCCACTCGTTTTCTTCTTTCGAAATTCCTTTAATAATGTTTCCTGCAGCTCAGGCCAGTTTTCCGTATGTTTTAGGCAACATAAGAATTTAGCTACTGTTCCTTTAATTGCCTTGCGTCCAAAGATAGCCTTCTCTAATTTGTTGAGGTTAGCCATCCGCGTTATATCGCTAAAATCCGATAGCCATTTCTCAATCGGATAGTCGTCGTCGGCGGTTAATGCAGGTATTAAGGCTTCTACATCTCGAGGTCGAATATTGCAACGTGTCGCTCGCGTAGTTATTTCATTATTGTAAGTTCGTTGGCCATCGTATTCGTAATTATGATATTTGCGTAATGTGTTATCTTCCTGTCGTCGTTCCTCGTCATATATATTCTCATCTATATATCGTGCATTATACTTACTGCGTCTGACTTCGTCGTTAAGACGTCTTAATTCATTGTTTAGTCGTAATTTCGTGCACTATTTATCGAATGTTGAGAAACATCGATTCATCATTGGTCTTTGTTTCTTCGTGAGACATCGTACTCTGTGTCATTTCGTAGAACAGATTGACAAGCTTGTTGTGAAGCTCCCTCGTGTTCCGAAAATCGCATCACTTGTTGGTTTCGTGCGTCCTCATTTCGGCCTGCAACTGAGCTTGGATTCGTCGTTGATTCCGTTCCTTTCCGCTGATTGCCGTCGTTGTCCTTATTTACACCTGCATCCTCTTCATCGTCGTCATCTTCGCTCTCGTCGTCTGGTGTGAGCTTATCCAAATGATTCAGGCGTGTACACAAACGTTTTGCTAATTTAGATCCGGCAATTTCAAACTGAAACCACGTACGTACAGAGCTTTACTAGCTCTTCCAAAGTAAAGGCTTCTAATATAAAATTGCACTTGGCTTCATACTCGCCGTCGTTGTCAAATCAAAATCCTTTAAATGCGCGAATATTTTTACGATTCGTCTTGGGATTACCTTCATTGCCGTAGAATAATAGATACAGAGCGTTAACCTCTCTTAACTTTGTGGTGTAACTGCTTAGCCTGTTTGGAAATACTTCACCGAGCGTTAATTCCGTTGATTCAGTCATCCTTGCAACGTCGTTTTATGTCGTATTCGTAGGTTAAGTGTTCTCGTGTTTTTAGATCCTCGTCGTTCCTGTACTTATTCTTCGATTCTTCGCCTAATCCCAGACGAACCCCTAATATGTAGGATTGATCTTTTGTATGGCGTAAGAAAAGATGTTTATTCAAAGAGATAAATACAAGTACTTAGATAATTATTATTGCACACTCTCTTAATGCGCGCACCCTCGTCCGTTGATCTCTCTCATCCTTCTCTTGCTAGCGTCACCTCTCACCTCTTCGCTCTGGTGCCACCTCGCGCTCCCACATATATTTACGCAGGCATGTTTTTTTATATTACACTATTATTTATTTCAATACATTGCCATTAAAAATTTCAACATTCTTTAAACATTATAAAAATTACAGGAAAGGTGTTTTCAAATTTAAAAAAATTAAAATAATTACAATTTATTCTAAAATTTATTATTCTTTGTCACTTTAAGATGTAATTATGTAAAACAGCGTTATATAAATATAGAAATATTTTAATGAAGATAATCCATTTTATACAGGGTTAGGTAGTATCTAGTTAAAAAGTTAAATAATTTTAACTTAACTTAATTACATTTTTGACTCTTAACTTTTAACTCACTTAGTCCAATTTTATCTGTAACTATTAATTTATAACATTTTTGAAGTTAACTATAGATCGGAAGAGCACACGT